AAAGCTTCCAACCAGGTACAAGCTGTCTGCCAAATTTTGCACTCAGGAAAGTGGCATCATCTAAGTCAATTACATGCAAGTTTTTTTTGGCTAGTTTTTTATGTATGTTAAAGGGGTCACAACATGACTTCTGCAAATCCTCAAATCTGTCAATGTAAATTTTTGCATGATGAAAGCAAATTGTATTGTTCCCAGAAAGTGTCATTCCAGTTCTAAGTTGAAGTAAAAGCATATCATTTGATGACAATTCTTGCAGAGTCTTGAAACCTGTATGACGAGTATAGAAGGTTTTATGGCACTCATTGGTGGTGCGAAGCTGAACGCCAACTGAACACGGATCCATCATTCTCGATTCCAGCCAATTTCCTGTTTAATTCTGTTGAGCAACTGACCTCTCTCCAATAAGTGATATGCTGGTCACCCTGAAGAAAATATTAAAGAGAGTCAGATTTGTGCTGTAAATGTTTTATCTGGGAAACTGAAAAGGCATTTGATAAAACTCAGTACTTGTTTAAAAGAAAGAAAACTCTTAGCAAAAAAGGAAAAGAAAGGTTTTTAACAAAAAGGATACAAGAAATATTATTATATTTAATCATGGAGCATCAGAAGCATTTCCTTTAAAGTCAGAACTACATAATGCCTGCTGTCACAGCTTCCATTTAACACCATATTAAAGGTATCAGAATTGAAAAGAAAGAAACAAGAAATATTACTCAAAGATTATTTAACTATCTACATGGAAAATACAAGAGGTTTTAGCAAACTATTAGAAGTAGCAAGATAATTCAACAAAAATATTGGAAACCAAAAGCACTTTAAGATACCTTACAAAACATATAAAACTTAAAAACGACACGTAAGGCTTTTATGGCAAAATTATCAAACAGAAAGACAAAAAAGATACTTTTAATAAATGCTGAAGAAATATGCCTTGGAAAGTCTATAGTAAATATGTCAATTCTCCAGGAATTTATAAATTCAAAACTATTCTAATCAAAATCCCATCAGGTGTTCTGCCTACTTCCTCTTGGAATTTAGTAAAATGGTTTACATGGAAGGGTAAAGGTCCAAGTAAGCCAAGAGAATCTTGAAGAAAAACAGAGTAAGACATTTACTATAAAACTATTACAATGAAAACCGGTATCAGCATAATATAGACAAATAGATCCATGAAAAGAGGAAGATGTATAACATATGGTATTATAAATCAGTGGGCATTACACATTAATGGAAGAAGGATTTAATAAAAGATGCTTGGAAAACTGCCTAACCATGTGGAAAAAGGCAGAATAAGATTGCTCTCTCACAAACAAAAATCAATTCCAGTTGGATTAAAGAATTAAGCATGAAAATATATTTACAAAAAAACCAGAAGACTTTGTGATATATTTCGTTTGATATGTGCATTTCTGTTTGAGAATTTCTTCTCTATCCCAGTATCACAGTCTTCTGTTTTGGGCACACTTTGAGTACTGTATGTAATTTTTGGAGGAACACTTGAAGGAATTAAACTGTCTGCACAATTATACTGTTTTCTAAGCATCCATTCCTTAGGTGTCACTGTAGGGTTAGAATTACTTGCTATTGGAGTTGCCAGATAAAATACAGAATGCTCAGTTAAAGTTAAATTTTAGATAATGCACAAATAATTTTCACATTAAATATGTTCCAAATATTGCTAAAAAAATAAGCTGTTATTTGTCAAACTTAACTGGGAATCCCATATTTTTATTTGCTAATTCTAGCAACCTCATTTACTATGCAATTTTTATTTATTTATTTTTTGGCATTTTCTAGTAAGTAGAGGTCTTTCTTTGGTGCCAGCTTCAAATTAAGTTCCACCTCTTACCTGTTATTAAAAGGAATTCGAACTTCCTATGAACAAATTATAGGAGCGGCTCAGTTTAAAATGAAACTGTCTGAAAACAATAGCAGAGGGAAGTTCAGGTTAAAAAGGAAACTAATTATTTTTCTTCCCAAAATTTTTAGGGGAAGTGTAGCCATACTATGTTCCAATATGTTGATTTCTCATTAATACAGCTTTTTACTTGACCAGTCTCCTAATTAGTGGGAAAAGTAGTATTAAGAGGAAATTTAACCAAATAAAAAATTTTGAGTTTTTTTTTAAAGTATATTTTATTGATTTTTTACAGAGAGGAAGGGAGAGGGATAGAGAGTTAGAAACATCCATGAGAGAGAAACATGGATCAGCTGCCTCCTGCACACCTCCTACTGGGGATATGCCCTCAACCAAGGTACATGCCCTTGACTGGAATTGAACCTGGGACCCTTCAGTCCACAGGCTGATGCTCTATCCGCTAAGCCAAACCAGTTAGAGCACTTTTCTGAGTTTTTAAGTTGTCAAGAATCCTTCCCTTCATGAAAAATGCCCTTTGGGAGTAGGGGTGAAGTATAAGTTCTTATAATTTGTCAAGCATTTTCTAAGCCATCTCTTATTTAATGAAAATAAAGTATTTTCATCGACCCCTACTATGCAAATCAGCAGCTTTAGTTATGGCCTAGAGCCAATAAGAAAGGTAGAGAATTTAAAACAAATATATAGTCCATAGTACTGTCCTATCTAATGAAGATGGAATACGCAAATTAACCAGCACTCCACAACAAAAGATGGTGGCGCGCACAGCCAATAAGGAGGGAATATGCAAATTGATGTGACAAAGATGAGGGAGGCAGGGCCACTTGCCTCATCACCATGGCAATGAAGCAGGCTTCCGCCCAGCAGCAGCCAGGGGAAAGGAAGGCCTATTCTTGCACGAATCTTTGTGCATCGGGCCTCTAGTTTAAAAGATTTCTATTGAGAGGCAGGAACAGCGATAGCACAAACATCATCTCATTAATCTTTACAACTCTGAGGTACTATCATTCCCATTTACAGATGAAGAATCTGAAGTTTAGAGCTCTAGTTTCCAAGCTAACACAATGGCTGGTATATCAGAGACATGTATTTGCTAAATGAATTAAACATCCACACACACACATCCAAACCAAATTTTACTTTATATGAAGAATCTGTTAGGCTCACCCAAAGCACTTCCCTCAGACTTTTTAATGCTCTGTCCAGTGTACTTTCAGATCTTTGGAATCCATTTGCAATTTGTCACCATTCCTTTGGTCCTTAAGGGCCAAAGGGAAGGAAGTGACGAGGGATTGCAACAACTGCGAGGCAGTTTCCAGACCGAGAGTCATGCGCAAAGCGCTAATCACTCTGCCTTATTCTGGATGAGACCAAGATTGTCAAACAATCCCAGGTTCCCGCTATGGATGCCGGGTAAGTGATTGTGAAACGGAACTGTCATCTGTGGAAAACACTTTTTTTTTTTTCTTACCACTTTGTAGAAAATACAGTCTGGGCTCTTTAGAATGCCATCATGTGTTCTAAATGCCACAACACTGCTAAATGTCAAAACTGCACTACCTGCGGAGTTCTTTTCCGTTGCATGCCTTTATATTGTTCTCTTTGCTTAGGTTACCCGGGTTACGGGGTTCAAGGCCACCATATTTCAATCCTCATCCACCTAACGGGTAGGTGATGGCGAGAACCGTTTGAGCTCGGTCGGCATGTCAGCATTTTGAAAAACCCTAACTTAACTCTGGTGCCGTGTCACATAGAGAAATTTTTTGATATTTGCAACCATAGTAAAACAAAGGCTTATATTTTTGATATTTATTTTATATATTTAAATGCCATTTAACAAAGAAAAATCAACCAAAAAAATGAGTTCGCGTGTCATAGGTTCGCCATCACTGAGTCCTAACCCATCACTTTGAGGGCTCCCGGGCTGAGGCATCCTTCCGGACAGAGCCAGTGTCCCCCCCATCTGTGGAGCCTCACCCAGATACGGTTGCAGGCCCTCCTTCCTCTGGCGGCACTTCCCTGGGAGCTGAGCTGACCTCACAGTGCTTTCTCAGCTGTTGGAGGACAGCAGCTCTATGGCTTCACCTTCTTTATCATCCGGTGGAGGAACAAGAACTCCGGGGACTCCCCTTTTCATAGCACTCATCACAGGCTGGTTGTTAAGTCGCCGCCCCCCCCCCCCCCCCCCCTCCATTACACATTAGTTCTGTGAGGGCAAGAAATCACCTGGGTCCCCTGTACCTTTGACGTCTCCAGCACAACACTGACATCTAGTAGACTCTTCACAGCGTCTTTTCAACGAACACCTGTCCAGAAACGATAGGAATCTCACCCCAAGAGGCCTAAATCTCCCCAAATCAATGCGACTCAGTCCCCAGGATGCGGCAATCCTTCCCACCCCAACCCTGTGGAGGTCACAGGCCTAACGCCCCTGTGAGCGGTTCTATCCAAATGTTTCAAGCCACCAGGTCCGTCCAAGGAGGACCTACTATGTTCATGGTACCGGGATAAAAAAAAAACAAAAAAAAAACAAAAAAAAACCGACTACTACTCCGCCTCCGGCCTCAACCAGACACCTAGGGCCGGGAGGACTCCGATTACAAAGCATAAAAACAAAACAGGAGAGACGCTGGGTACGGGGTTGAAGGCCACCATATTTTAACCTCATCCACCTAACCCATCGCTTTGAGGGCTCCCGGGCTCCGGACGAGAGGCGACAACCCGCAGACGCGACTGATGCGGCGGCCACCGCGCAGGGCCTGGCACCAAGGGGCGTCGGATGAACCTGGGTCGGAGATCGGCGGATCGGGAGGCTGCAGAAAAGCCCCCTCCCGCTTCCGGGCCTCCTCTCCGGCCTCCGTGACCCGGCCCGAGTCTCCCTCCTTTCCAGGGACCAGTCTCCCCGCCCACGCCCCCCGCTTCTTCCCTCCCAGAACCTCCCCCGCGGCCCGTTCCACCTGAGCGCGAGTTCCGCCGCCCGCGTTCGCACAGAACTTGTAACCACGCACCGCCGCCTCCGCGGCCTGCTCCTCGGCGCGCCCTCGCACTACCACCGAGAGGAAGGCGGGCGGGAGCTAGAGGGGCCCGGCGCGACCATAGAGAGCGACGCGGGGGAGCCTAGAGCGGAAGGAGCCGGGCGCCCCCCCGCGGCGGAAAGGACGGGGCGGCGCCCATGGGCGGATGAATGATTCAAGGTGAGGCAACAGTTGCTTCTTGCGCTGGCGAGATGTTGTTTTCGGAAACAGCTCGGGCCCGGGGGCCGCCTCTTCCCAGGTGCAGGTTTGGCTAGCTTGGATTCTGTTCGCGAATCTCGACGCCTGATCGTGAAGCCAAATGTTTGCACCCCGATCTTTCTAACCCGTGGAGTAGTAGGGCCTGTGTTAAAAGGACCTTAAGAACAGACCCTTTATTTAAGGTCTCACATTTTATTTCATTAATTTTATTCAAGCTAAAAGTATTCCAAAATGCATCTCTTTTTAAACTATTAAAAAAAATAGGTGTTTATTACTTTGAGTATAATATGGGCTCCGAGAAGATGCTTGTAAATGTTTTGAGGGGAGAAATCACTCTCTTGTATCTCTAATGTGTGCCACAGTTTAGGTACTCATTCATTTTAGAGTGGATTTCATTCATTTAGCATCTTTGAGAGCGCAAGACCCCTTCCAGCGGTTCTCAACCTGTGGGTCACTACCATCGGAAAACGCATATAGCATATCAGATATTTACATTACGATTCATAACAGCAGCAAAATTACAGTTATGAAGTAGCAACGAAAATAATTTTATGGTTGGGGAGGTCACCACAACATGAGGAGCTGTATTAAAGGGTAGCAGCATTAGGAAGGTTGAGAACCACTGCTAGGCTAAAGGGACTCAGCCTTCAACCATTTTCAGGTGGGAGGTGGAGGGAAAAGCCTCCCAGCCCCCTAGTACTGTTTTTGTAGCCACCCAAGTGAAGGGGAAAAAAAAAAGTGAGACAGGGAGATACAGTCCACCAAGGTCCGAGCTTACTAGTAATGCTGTACACACTTAATGTAGGTTGCTCCCTGCAGGGAGCCTACGGCCCTTGCACCACCTCCACGTTGCCCTGCAAGCAGGCAGGGCTTTGCTACTCACCCTATTACACCAGTCTTGGAACTGGGGAGTGAGAGAAAGGCAAAACCAGCAGATAACCCATTCACCTGTTTCTTCCGGAGGTCACGTGCAGTAGCTTTTTTAGTAGTTACTTTATGGTTGGCACTTGGCTAAGAGAAAATGAGACAAACGAGTAAAACGTACCCCTCCTTTCAAAGAGCTCACAGGCCAGAAAGAGAAACAAAGGAGGCAAGCGTTAACCCCAGGGCGGTGTGATAAATGCCACAATGGAAACACAGAACATGAACAGGGTAAAATGAGGATTACTAAGGCAGAGGCATTCTGAGAGGAGATTATTGCTTGAATTAATTGAGCTGTCCGGTGGAAAACGAACCCGATGCAATGGGGGCTTTCAGGCAAACTGCTGCGAGGCAAGCTGTCCTGGAGGTAATGGAATAGAAGACTCACAGACCAAATGAAGGTGCTTGAATAGAATGGTTTATGGACTCCATTTTAATACCCAGTGAAAAGCAAGGGAAAAGAGTAGGAATACACTGACACGTGTAGGATAGGATGCAAACAAGGGGAAGGACATCGCTTGGATCTGGAGTTAAACAACGTTCAGATGTTCAATCAACCTCTTCCACTGATGACCTGCTTTTGAGGACCAGAGTTCAGGTCACAGAAGGGAGGCCCACAGGCTTGCTCTGTTGGACAGGTGCTGGGAAACATAGCTGGCCACAACCAGGGCTCACTAATTAGCCTGAACAGGCATGGGTTTAATTGCATTAATTAATTAATTTATTTATTTATTTATTTTGGGGATTGAGCACATGTGAGATTATACCAGGTGTCACCTCTGGATGAATGATTTGGTGGTGACATAGCTGTCAGCCCAGAGATGGCATAATTATTCATAGCTTAGTTTTTCTGCCCGCCACCCCCCCTTTTTTGTTTTTACTATAAATGTCCCTCTGTTCCATGATATTTTCAACTTGGGATGCCTTACAGTGTACTCACTATGTATATTTAATGGAATTCTATGTTTCACAAAATACATGCTTACTCATATTCTCTATATAAAACATCCTGTAAATTGTGCATTTATCTCATAAGCTGCCAGTGTATTTAACACTTTTTCTGACTAACACTTCTTATGACTTTCATCCATCCCTAAGGAAACTGCAAGGAATTCAGTATAGCTGGAGTGGGAAGCTGAGAAAGGTAAGTAGAGGACAGATAATGCTCTTTTTTATGTCGTATTAGAGATACTAAACTTTATTCTGAACTGAAGTGGGAAACGGTGAGGAGTATGGAGAACAGGGAAGAAGTACAGTACCGGGCAGGAGAGCCAGTTCTCTTTTGCCCTAATGCAGAGATTAGTAATGATGTCCCCCACCAGCTCAGTGTCTCCATGAGGTGAGATGATTTCTTCCCCTACCCCTTCCTTAAACATTTAGTAATGCCTGGAAACATTTTTTTTCAGCTAGGGGGCGCTACTGATATTTAGTGGGGTGAGAGCAGGGGAGTTCCTAAACATGCTATGTTGTGGAAGACAACCCCTCACAAAAGAATGATCTGGTTCAAAATTTCAATAGTGCCAAGATTGACATACCCCAAACTAAGGGACTTAAGAAAGCATAGAGAGCAAGCAGGCTACTTAGTAACTGATTAGCTATAGATGTGAGGAAGAAGGAGAGAATAATTTTAGGGTTCTGGCTTGGGTAACTGGGAGGACAAAAGGAGAAATGGGTTATGGAGAATAGAGAGAAGGAATTAAACCTTGGATATGTTAAGTCTAAGACAGCCAAGTGAAGATGCACAGTATGCAGTTGGAAAGAAGAGGAAGGCGATGAGAGGAGTTTGAGCTGAAGATCCGTTTTGGTAAATGTTAATACTAGGTCAGTCTTTACAGATAAACTTCAAGAAAGAATCTGAGCCCTAGCTGGTTTGGCTCAGTGTATAGAGTGTCAGCCTGCTGACTGAAGGGTCCTGGGTTCGATTCCAGTTACGGGCACATGCCAGAGTTGCAGGTTTGATCCCCAGTAGGGGATGTGCAGGAGACAGCCAATCAATGATTCGCTCTCATCATTGATGTTTCTATCTGTCTCTCCCTCACCCTCTCTGAAATCAATACAAATATATTTTTTTTAAAAAAGAAAGAATCTGAGATGTTGGCAAGCAATTACACAATTTTGCAGCATGCTAAAATTTGCAAACAATAGATTTAGATCTCAAAGGAAGTCGCAGAAGGAGGAGGCAGTGAGGTAGCCAGAAAACAAAGGCAGAGCAAAGTCCTACCTACTAAGGAAGGCCAGAGTTGAAAGCAGGGCTCTAGCAGTATGGGAGGGAGAGGTTGCCGCAGAACAGTACTGGCCTTTGGATGTACAATGAGAATCACATATGTAATTGTAAATTTTTTAGTAGTAATATTAGAAAGTTTAAAAAGAAATAGGTAAATTAATTTATAAATATGTTTTGTTTAACCCAACATATTTAAAACATTATCATTTCACCATGTAATTAATATAAAATTATTAATAAAGTATGTTATAGCCCTTTTTTTATGTACTAAGTTATTTTGAAATCTGGTGTGTATTTTATACCTCCAGTACCTTTCAATTTGGACTAGCCACTTTTCAGGTACTCAGTTACTCCATGTGGATAGTGGCTACCATATTGGATTGCATAACTGTATAAAATCAAGTAAAAAAGAGACTAAAATATATTCTTTAGAGCAATTAGATGGTTATAGATGGTGTGATAAGAGCTCTTCCAGTGAAGTGGAGGGTAGAAGCCAGAATATACCCAGTTAAAGCATGGGAAGTTAGAGATAATAGCTACCATAGAGAACATTTTCAACAGCCTTTATTATGATTACTATAGTATGAAGGGCTTTTTTTTTTTTTTTTTAGTTTTGAGTATGATTAAGATTAAACAACACAATTCAGTTTTTTAATAGGTTTTAACAATTATATTTGGACTTTTGCTTTGGCAGATTGCCCTCCTACTGAAAACTATTTTTAGATATTGGAGGATATCTAAATACTGAATTGTGATCCCGAAAGAAGAGAAACAACTAAGGTAAGTCCTGCCCTCGCTGGTTTGGCTCAGTGGATAGAGTGTCAGCCTGCGAACTGAAGGGTCCTAGGTTCAATTCTAATCAAGGGCATGTGCTGCTTGCAGCTTGATCCCCCCGGCCCTGGTCAGGGTGCATGTGATGTGTCTCTCTCACATCAGTGTTTCTCTCTGTCTCTCCCTCTCATTTCCACTCTCTCTAAAAATCATTGGAAACATATCCTCGGGTAAGGATTAACAAAAAAATAAAAATAAAAAAATAAGGTAAGTCCTATAGTGATCCCAGCTTACTGCCTGGAACCAGAGTTCAGGTCATAGAGCTGGTAGGGGAACCTAAATAGAGACTCGTGGTTTCACCAGATGGAGGAGATGGAGATGGAGATTCAGAGAAGCTGATGGGCTGGTATCAGAGAGGAGGAAGTGGCACAGAGTCTTGGAGGTCTCCCCAGGTGAGCCTTTTCCCTTGTACCGAAGTGGGAAATGCCTGGCCCGGGCCATATAAGGCCTGAGAAATCATTTGGTCTGGCCCTGCAAAGGCATTAGGAGTGAGTTAATTAAATGTTTGACCAAATATAGCAGGCTAATTTTTAAATTGATAATTTTGTATGGCACGTGAATGATATAAATATCCAAATGGCCCTTGGCAGAAAAAAATGTTCCCCATCCCTGCTTTATATCTTTGCCTGGGTATTGATCTGTGCAGTGGAAGAGTGAGACTCTGGGAGGTGCGTGAAAGAACCACCAAAAAGTAGTAGGCCAGCCCTAACCGGTTTGGCTCAGTGGATAGGGCGTTGGCCTTTGGACTCAAGGGTCCCAGGTTCGATTCCGGTCAAGGGCATGTACCTTGGTTGCGGGCACATACCCAGTTGGGAGTGTGCAGGAGGCATCTGATTGGTGTTTCTCTCTCATCGATGTTTCTAACTCTCTATCCCTCTCCCTTCCTCTCTGTAAAAAATCAATAAAATATATTTTTTAAAAAATTAGTAGGCCAAACAATTTCTAATGCTGAGGATAAATAGTTTGTGTTCCCAATCATCCAGAGTAGAGGAATCTTGTAATAAACACTTTGTTCCTATCAGTCAAAATAAAAACAGGGAGCCTGGCCAGTGAATGTTACTCTTCCTTCCCGCCCCC